GATTTAATTTATAAGGTTAGAGAAACAAATAATAAATTGGCTGACGCCAAACTAGAACTTTTTAAACTTAGAGATGAGCGGGAAGGGGGTTCAAAAATTATTGGAACAGGTCCTGGGGGTGCTATTACTGAGGCTGATAAAATTAAGGCGAAGGCACAGGCTATGTTACAAGACCATGTGGTGCGTATGACCGGGAAATCTATTAATTTTGGTAGCGATTTACCCGATTCATCAGCATCAAGAAGATATGAAGAAGAAGTGATTAGGGTTAATACCGAAAAAGAAATTAGAGAACAAAGCGTTGCAGATATTGAAAGAACTATTTCAAGGATTCAAGACTCGATAATGCGAATTGCAAGAGAACGGGAAGAAATCGAAGATAAGCTACGCCGAATCGAGGGAAATACGAGGTCTTCTGATAGTGATGCCCGGAAATGGGAGGATGGAACCAGTGTAGGTGAAGAAGTGAGGAAGTTCATTGATGAACTTAAAAGAGATGCTCCAAACTTATCTTATCGTACAGAATACAGTCAAAGTAATTATTCTTATGATAAAGTAAAATATAGTGAACCTCGCTATTCATCTACAAAAAATGATACGCACGATCGTAATCGTTCAGCTTCTTCTTCATCTTTGGGTTATAGTCCAGTTAGCAGCTCTGTTCAAAGCTGTTCTGATGCAAAAACTCCAGAGGAACGTAGTGCTTTTATTCAGGCAGAAGCAAAACGCAGAATGGAGGAACGATTAAAGGCTTTGGGTATTGATAAGCCGTCATCTGAAAAACCTACATCGACTCCTGGTTCATCAACGATCGCTGATAGATTAGTACGTGAGAGAGCTGACGCAGCTGAAAAACTTGAACGCGCGGAACGAGAAGCTGCAGAACGTGAGCGTATTCGTGAACAAAAACTTTTGGCTGAAAAGCAAAAGAAAGCAGAGCAAGAAGCAGATCGATTAAAAAAGATAGAAGAGTTTAAACGCCAAGAGGAGGAAAGAAAAAATAAATGGCTTATAGAAGCTCGGGAACTTGAGAAAGCAAAGGAGAAAAAACTGCGTGATAAGGAGGAAGCATCACGTCTTATGGAATTAGAGTTGGAAAGGAGGAGATTAGAAACTGAAAGAGAAAAGCCTCAACAAGAAGAACGCTTATCTCCTCCACCAACAGTCTCCTTTACTGCTAAATCTACCACGCCCAAACCATCGTCAAATATTCCCGTTGCTCCTCCAGCACCACCATCAAATATTCCAGTTGCACCTCCAATGCCACCATCATCAAATGTTCCATCAGCGCCACCATTGCCGCCGTCTTCATCAAATATTCCATCAGCTCCACCAGCGCCAACATCCACCTCAAAAATTCCATCAGCGCCACCGTTGCCACCGACTTCATCAAATATTCCATCTGCGCCACCGCTGCCACCATCTGCGCTGAATTTATCAATTGCATCGCCAACACCCGTAGCTGCATCAAATACCTCGGTTTTGTCACAATCTCCGCCGTCTGATGCTAAATTACAATCTTCTATATCATCACAACCGCAGCCGTCAGGCGCACGAAGTGCCTTGTTAAGCCAAATTCAGCAAGGTAAAAAGTTAAAACCTACACAGACTAATGATCGGTCATCACCTCTTGCTGCAGGTAAATTATTAAATAAGAAATTTTATGTTTGTAGTCATTTATATTACATATTTTTCTTAACCATTTATTATAATGCTTAATTAGGTAGGACCAATTCTTCTCCTACACTGGGAGTTTCCTCTGATGGGTCTGTATCTAGTGCCAGTCGCATTGGTCTAGGCGCATTGTTTGCTGGTGGCATGCCAAAGCTTCAGAGTCGTGGCGGAGTAGAAACTGGTCGTTCATTTACTGAAGACACTCGTACCACAACTAATTCTCGGCAAAAAACAATTTTGAAAGCTGATCGTAGGATTTCGTCAGATTTATTTGGTAGTTTGGCTTCTGATCAACTTGCAAATGAAGGAAAACTCTCAGCACTTACAACCCCTGATATAACCCAGACAACGATTATTGAGAATAAAGAATATCCTCGAACCACAAATGAATCATCAAGCCTCGTAGAGTCACCAACTACTACTTCGTCTTCTGAGATTGATGTGGATTTCACACAAGAATTTCGCGTTAAATCTCTCTATTCTTATTCTGGTAATGGTGCAGACGATCTTTCATTTGAGGCTGGAATTTCTTTCTTGGCACATCCGTCCAAAATTCAATCAAACGCGGATTGGTGGTATGGTGTGATTGAACAAACTGGTGCAAAAGGCTGGTTTCCCAAATCATACGTTGAAGTAGTTAAAGAAGGTAATCATTGATAATTATCTGTTTAAAAAATATATATTTTTTTAATAATTTATATTTATTAAAAATTTAGAAAAGGAAATTTGTAAAGCTAAAGTTTTATACGAATGGAAGGCACAATCTCCTGACCAACTTGACATTAGACAGGGTAACGTCATTTCTATACTCGACAAGTCCTTGGGTGATTGGTGGAAGGCTGAATATGAAGGCGCTAAAGGAATTATTCCATCCAATTATGTCGAGGAAATTTCTAGTTATAGCGGTTAGTGTTTGACTTTAATCTTGTTGGTATAAATTGAATTTTTTATAGCGAAAGCGTATGTGTGATGATGTAAGATTCAATCATCCTTCCTTTCACATACATTATTCTTTATTTTACTTCAATTTTCAAAAAAGCAAGTACAGAAACATAAAACTACATATGTATTGTCAAATAAAGGCCAATGTAATATTATATTCTTTATTTATATTTTTGTGTGTGGATAAAATAATGAAAATTTTCTTTTACGTCTTTTTCTACTCTTTTTTTTTAATTTTAATTTTCTGTCCTGCATTACGGTTGGGGCAAAAGTCCAAAACAAATTAGATAAGGATATGACAGGTGAAGGTGAAACAAGTAACGATGACACAAGTGAAGATGAATCTAATGAAACTAATGGCGATATACGTTCAAAAAGTGATATTGTTAATGATTCAAAATCAGACAATATTTTTGACATAGTTTTTACGGACCCTATAACGATACCAAAATTTAGCATTCAATCTCCTAAAAATGCTAGTTTTATAAAAAGTCCATTAGATATAGATTCTAGGTCAGCCTCACCGAATTCATCAGAGCCTACTGAGTTTGTAAGAAGTCCAAGTCCAACAAGATTATTTGGTTCTAGTCCAATTATCACTGTTCCATGGATGCAAGTTGGATCATTTAAAAGAGAGCGTAATAATTCTACAGATTCTAATCTTAATCCACAAATTATGCCGCAAAGACCCGAAAGTCCAGTTTCAATTAACCAAGTATGTTAAAATTATATAAATTTTTCGCAAAAAGATAGTCATTGACTGGCTCATAAATTTTATCTGTTCTCATTTAATTATTCCAATAAAAGG